CATCCATTGTGTGCACAGATGTTACCATTTGAGGGATTGAGTGCACTCTCCCTGTGGCACACCTGGCAAATACCTCGTGGACGATTATATATATATATTATATAATATATATATATTATATATATTATATATATATATATATATATATATATATATATATATATATATATATACATATATATGAAACTTGCTGGCCATCTCCCACCAAGTGAAGGGTGACCCAAAAAAGAATCCCCTTCACGCCGGTGTCCCGTGGCCTGGTGTCAAAAGCTCTCGTTTCACATGCTGGGGCTCCGGGTTCGATTCTTGGCAAAGGGTGGAAACACTGGGAGTGTTTCCTTACACCGGTTGTCCATGTTCACCCATCAGTAAAACTGGATACCTGTGTGTTAGTCAACTGATGTGGGTCGCATCCTGGGACAAAAATTATCTAATTTGCCACAAATGCTGTGCATAACAAGCGGCTTTCTACATATTAGCATGTCATTGATGTCAGCTTGGCCTTTGTACATGTACTTGTAGAAATAAAGGTACTATTATTATCATTCACACTAAACATGTCCCTCTAAACAGTAAATATCAAAAACCCCTCCAGTGCAGGCACTGTATATTCCACCTCCAGGACTCAAGTCTGGCTAACTGGTATCCCTGTAAGACACATTTAAATATAGAAATACCTGAGCGCAGGTGTGGAGACGTTGCAGAGGACGATGGAAGCGTGAATGAAGGAGAAGAACACGAAGAACATCTGGAAGCCGAAGAAGACATACTTGGGAGAGTTCTCCCAAGAGATGAAGCAGCGAGGGTCCTCCCCGAGGTCAAAGAGGAAGAGGAGGTAGGTCAGGCCTACGGAGATGAGTGGAAGACCCCAGGAGATGGGCAGGTAGGCCCGCAGGAGACCACCGATCACACCTGCAGAAGATTTGTCAGGTTCTGGAGGGGCTGTCAGCTGCTTATAAGGTAGATGGTGAAGGTTCTGCAGATCAAGTAACCCACACACAGAGGAGAGAGAGAGAGAGAGAGAGAGAGAGAGAGAGAGAAGAGAGAATGAGAAAGTAAGACACGCGAGGAGGAGAGAGAGAAGAGAGAGAGAGTTGAAGGAGAGGAGAAGAGAGAAAGAGAAAGTTTTCAAGTCGGGATTGGACTTATTCAAGTCACGGATGGCTTTTCTTTTAACATGGCTTTCCACGTCCGGACCGAAACGTCATCATAAGCTTCTCTCTCCTATGTGCGGGTTATTTGAGTATTATTCCAGTCACGGTATTGTGCCCTTTTCTTTCTGAGCATCGCCGCCCCTTTCCTCCCCACACGTTCCCCGACCCTCACAACCACAATTCTTCAGTTGAGACGGAGGTATTACAGCAGAAATTACTATAGAGAAAAGGGAAGGCAAGTGAAGTGTGTATTCATTTTCACCCTCATCTTCACCTCATCCCTTATCCTCACCTCCCTCCCATCACCCTCACCTCATTCTTCCCCCTCACCTTCACCTCCTGCAGTAGATAAGACTCACCTGACGTAATAGCGTTAAAGGAAGCGTGACCTAGAGTGAAGACCGCAGCTCCGGCACCCTGGTAGAAGAGGTGCAAGAGAGTGCCAACAGCGGTGCAGCTGTGCCTGCTGGACCTCACGGAGTTGAGGTCACTGACCACCATGAAGACAGTGCCCATCAACACTCCTACTGCCAGGTTGGCACCCATCAGGTGGAACTGGTCTTTCAGGTCACTGCCAACACACAAGTCTTCATGTAAATATGATACAACACCGACAAGGTGATAAGTAACACATATATGCAACAGTTATCTTTATTCCGCAACGTTTCGCCTACACAGTAGACTTCTTCAGTCGAGTACAGAGGAGGCAGCAGAAACAGTAGAGATGGAGAGACGATGTAATCAGTCCCTTACCCTTGAAGACGTAGGACTGAGGTGGTCAGTCCCTCAGGCTGAGGGTTTGACCATCTCAGTACTCTGTGGATGATGGACTAATTAATTGTCTCTACATCTCTACTGTGTCTGATGTAGGAGTCTAATGTATAGGCGAAACGTTTCGGAATAAAGGTAACTGTTGCATATATGTTACACATAATCCTTAACTTACAAGTTGCTATGTCTTCGTGGGAGGTACCTCTATGCTGGTGAATACCTCTTGATCCAAGGGATTGGGGCTACCCTCCGCTTTCTTGGATCAATCCTGATTGCTTCCCATTCCAGAGACACTGAGTCCCTTTCCCTTACTCTTCACCGTTTCCCCTGTGACTATAATTAAAGTGTCTTACTTTGATTGGCTCACCGGCTTACAGGGTTAGGTTTATATTAATATTTGCCTTAGTAGTGATGGCTTACTGGCTTTATAAAAGTTTTCTTAGGAGGACGAGTTGACTGTTAGTGGCTTACCTGGAGAAGGCGACGACCAGGATATAGATGATGATGAAGAGGAAGGAGAGGCCGTAGCCAATGTACCTTAACACTGTTAACCACAGAGCATCAACAGGCACCACCTGTGTACACACAAGGCACTTAGTTATGTACACACACGCACACACACACACACACACACACACACACACACACACACACACACTCACGACATTGTACACAGTGTACGTAAGGCCTATACTGGAATATGCAGCGCCAATATGGAACCCTCACTTAGTCAAACACGTCACGAAATTGGAGAAAGTGCAAAAATTTGCAACACGATTAGTCCCGGAACTGAGGGGTATATCTTATGAGGAGAGATTATGGGAACTCAACCTGATGACACTAGAGGATAGGAGGGATAGAGGGGACATGATAACAACGTATAAAATATTAAGAGGCATTGACAAGGTGGACAAGGATCAAATGTTTCAGAGATGGGATACAGAAACAAGGGGACACAATTGGAAACTGAAAACCCAGATGAGTCATAGGGATGTTAGAAAGTATTTCTTTAGTCTTAGAGTTGTCAGGAACTGGAATAATCTGGAGAGTGAAGTAGTGGAAGCAAGTTCCATAAATAGCTTTAAGAAGAGGTATGACAAATATCATGGAGCAGGGAGAGAGTGAATTAGTATCGACCAGTGAAGAGGCGGGGCCAGGAGCTCGGACTCGACCCCTGCAACCACATATAGGCGAGTACACACGCACACACGCGCGCACACACACACACACACGTGTCTAATCGACATGTGCCTAGGACAAAATGGTAACTAACACACACACACACACATAAACAGGCTAGTGTCTAATCGACATGTGCCTAGGACAAAATGGTAACTACCACCCACACACACACACACACACACACACACACACACACACACACACACACACACACGCATGCACATACAACAGGCCTAGTGTTAATCGACATGTGCCTAGGACCAAATGGTAACTAACTAACACACACACACACACACAAACACAAACACAAACACAAACACACACACACACACAACACACACACAAACACACACACACACACACACAACACACACACACACACACACACACGTACGTCACCTCCTCTTCCTTCTCACTCTCTCCCTCGCTCTTCTTTTATCTCTTCTATCTCTTTCTCTCTCTCCCTCTCTCCAATTCCACTTTCTCTCTCTCCCTTTCCACTATCCCTCCCTCCTCTGCTCCTCCTCATCCTATTACCTTCTCCATCTCCCCCTCACCTCCCCTTCCTTCTCCTCCTCCCTCTCCCCTCGCCTCCTAGGCCTACAAGCACACTAAAGACTGATCCTACCCAACTCACACGCTCCACACAGTCTAACATTCCCTTCTCTCTCTCTCTCTCTCTCTCTCTCTCTCTCTCTCTCTCTCTCTCTCTCTCTCTCTCTCTCTCTCTCTCTCTCCTCTCTCTTTCTCTATCTCACTCACTTCAATCACACTCTCTATCTCTCTTTCTTTATCCCACTTCTCTCCCTCTTTATCTTCCTTCTCATTCTCCCTACTCCTTCTACTCCCTTCCCCCCCATTGCTCTTCCCCTGTACCCCTTAGTCTTCCCCCCATCCTCTCTTCCCTCTGCTGCTGTCCCCCCCTCCAGCTCACTATCCTTTTCCCCTCCCTGCCTCCTCCCCCCTTCTTACCACGCCAAACACCCCCTCTCCCTCCCCACAACAAACACCCCCCTCCACACAGCACTCTTGGCATAAGCTCTTCCTTCTGTGGAAAAGAAATATGGGTCACCAGAAACCCAGACGGAGAACCAGAGGAATGGTGGATGAAGTGAGGGGTGGACCTGGGAGAGAAGACTGGGAGGCAGAACTCACAAGAAGAGAGGAGGAGTGGGGGAGGAGGCTGGAAGAGCTCGGCAAGAAAATGGAAGATAAAACAGCTGAGGAGAGCAGGAAATGGGAAATACAAACCACAGCAGCTGAAGTTAAGATACAGAGCTTAGTAGAAGAACTAAAAAGTCTGAAACAGCCTAAAGAACCAAAGGACAGTACAGCCATGACACCAAGAACTGCTACATCAGTCACCGATGAGGGGACAGTAGGGGACAAAGGAGATATACTGTACGCAATGACACTATCGGACCCAAGGGAAGCCCGGGAAAAGGCAGGGAGAACATCAGGAACTTATGAGGGGACTAAAGACAATGAAGGAGCTAGGCTATACACAGAGGCTCTAACGGACAACCGCCACGTCCAGGAACAGATAAGCACAGGGACACTGGATAGGGAAGAGGCAGTAGGAAGCAACGCGTCAATGGCAGGAACTGATTCGAATCAGAGGATGCTCAGGGAAGTACAGTGGGAGGACGAAAGGGAGAGGGCCGTTTTTGTCTATGGGCTCCAAGAAACAGATGGGGAAACTTACGAGGCAAGGAAACAGGAGGAGAAAAAAAAAAGATTGAAAGCATCATGAAAGCAATAGGAGAGGACGACATGACCCAGCTTACAAATTTTCGGAGAACTGGGTGGTTTGCGAGAGGAAAAGAACGTCCAGTCAAAGTGATTTTCAAGACAGAGTCAGCTCGAAACCGGATCCTGCAGGAGAAAGCGCGCCTAAGGGACAATCAGGAGTTCCGGAGTATATACCTGGACTGAGACAGAAAACAAGAAGAAAGGATGATACTGAAAGAGAGGGTGCAATGTCGCAAGGGGGAATGGGAGGCAAGGAAGGTGGAGAGCAGGAGAAATCGGGCCCAGGTGGAAGAGCAAGCACAACCCCCTCCAGTATCACCCACAGAAGGAACACAACCATGGCAGTCCCAAAGCAATCAAACAACCTAACCCAAAACCCACTCACTGTACCCTCTGCCCCCATCCCTCTCAGCACAAACACCACCCCCACAGACACTCACAGTAACCCACACATCCCCCTCAGCTCAAACCCCACCCCCACAGAAACCCACAGTAACCCACACAATGTACCCTCTCCCATCCTCCTCACCACAAACCCCACCCCACAGTAACCCACAGCAACCCGCACACTGTACCCTCCATCCCCATCCCCTCACCACAACCCCCACCCCCACAGAAACCCCCCATATGCCCTCTGCCCCCACCCCCCACACCACAGACCCCACCCTCACAGCAACCCCCTACAGGCCTCTGCCAGGGCACCTGCTCCCCCTAACCCACCTTTCTCCCCAGACCACAGTTATAGAAAAGAAGTTGAAGGTTTGGTACACAAAGGAGGATGGAATAACGAATAAATGTGAGGAGTGGCATGAAAGAATCAAGGAGATGTCCCCAGACATTGTAGTGGTTACAGAAACAAAACTCACTGGGATAATAACAGATTCAATCTTTCTACCCTGATATCAGATCCTGAGGAAGGATAGAAGGAGCAGAGAGGGAGGAGGGGTTGCACTGCTAATTAAAAACCGGTGGGATTATCAAGAAATGGAAGGAATGGACGAGATTGGAGAAAGGGATTACATAGTAGGTACAGTTCAGTCAGGGGAACACAAGGTAGTCATTGCAGTGATGTATAACCCACCACAGAACTGCAGGAGGCCAAGAGAGGAATATGATGAGTGCAACAGAGCAATGGTGGACACACTAGCTGAGGTGGCAAGAAGGGCTTATTCGAGTAGAGTGAAGTTACTGGTCATGGCCGACTTCAATCACAGGGAGATTGATTGGGAAAACCTGGAGCCACATGGGGGTCCCAAAACATGGAGAGCCAAGAGATTAGTGCAGAAGCTAGAAGATCAGGCACATATAACAGGAAGGGCACTGCAATGGATCAGAGAATACCTGACAGGGAGGCAACAGCGAGTCATGGTACATGATGAGGTATCGCAGTGGGCGCCTGTGACGAGCGGGGTCCCACAGGGGTCGGTCCTGGGACCAGTGTTATTCTTGGTATATGTGAATGACATGACGGAAGGGACAGAATCAGAAGTGTCCCTGTTGGCAGATGATGTGAAGTTAATGAGGAGGAGCAAATCAGATGAGGATCAAACAGGACTACAAAGAGCTGGACAGGTGGACACCTGGTCCGAACTGGCTTCTGTTTTAAACCCCCCCAAAATGCAAAGTCATGAAGATCGGGGAAGGGAAAAAAGACCGCGACAGATATAGGCTAGGGGGCCCAAAAGCGTAAACCTCGTAAAGGAGAAAGACCCGGGGGTGAGATAATACCGAGCACATCCCCGGAAGCACACATTAACCGAAAAATGCTGCGGATATGGGCCCCTGGAAAACCTGAGAATAGAAAGGAACCCTTTAAAAGATTGTACCCCATATATGTCGGGCCCCATACTGGAGTCGCAGCCCCAGTTTGGCCCCCAAACCCCTCTCAAGCACGTCAAAAAATTGGAAAGGCAAAAGTTTGCAAAAAGGCTATTTCCCGGCAAAAGAGGATTTTCCTACAAAGAAAGGTTAAGGGAAATCGGCATGACAAATGGGGATAGGAAGGGGGCCAAGGACGAAATCTGGGAGGGGGAATGGGGGTAGAGCTCAAAAAAAGGGAGGAAGACGGGGGAGGGGGGGGCTAGTGAGCTGGAAAGGAAAGTTGGAAAGAGATTTTAGCAGCAAAATGCAGAAGGTGGAAGAAAACGGGCCCACGCAGCAGAATAAAGATAGAGAGTTAGAAAGGGAGCTGAGCTTCTAAAAAACAGACAGAGCCCCAAAGATATTACAGGTAGCATCGGCAATGGTACTCAGAAGACAAAGGTTGGGGGGAAGCATGGAAACTAAAGTGTATGCAAAAGTCCTGTAAAACCCCCACATGGGGCCCAAAAAAAGCAGGGAGCACATGGACAGAATGAGGGGTTTGGGGAAGACTTTGGGAACTAGGACATGTGCAAGGCCAAAACCAGATACCTGTGGGGGCCGGGAGCAGGTGGCAGGAAGGAAAAACCCAAAAGCATGGGGGGCCATAAACTGGGAAGGGATAAAGGGGAAGGAACCTCCACGGGAAGGAACTAAAACACATCAGAGGATGCAATGGGAGTCACAGTGGGAGGGGGAAAAAGGGAAAGATCCGTGTTTGTCTATGGGCTGACGAAGCTAAAGGGGGAAACTTATGAAAAAGAAAGCAGGAGGAGAAAAA